AGGCTTAATACATCACTAAAAAGGTACAACTTTGTAAAAAAAAGGCTTAATACATCACCAAAAAGGTACAAGTTTGTAAAGAAAAAGGCTTAATACATCACCAAAACGGTGTAAGTTCGTAAAAAAAAAGGCTTAACACATCACCAAAAAGATGTAAGTTAGTAAAAAAAAGGCTTAATACATCACCAAAAAGGTACAAGTTTGTAAAAAAAAAGGCTTAATACATCACCAAAAAGGTACAAGTTTGTAAAAAAAGAAAGGCTTAATATATCACCAAAAAGGTACAAGTTTGTAAAAAAAAGAAAGGCTTAATATATCACACATCGTATAGTAATAAGCTTCAATTTTCTACTTAAAAAAAGTTACAAACTATTTTGCTATTCTAAGTCCTCAGTTACTTTCCTCACAATCTGAATCCTTTGGAAAATCGAGTCTTAATTAGTCCAAACTCTTAAACTTACTAAACTAAAGATATCTTCTAAGCGCCAGACGATACTCAACTTCCAGCTGGGCTAGCGCCGTCTTGTCGCCAAGCTAAGTTTGTTGTTTCAGAAAATTGTCTTGTCAGTTGTCACCTGTGTATATGTACCTCTAACCTGGACTAAATGGAAAACTTACTATAATCTCATTAACACTGACTAATATAGAGGGAAACAGTGCTTACTTTAGGCCGTCATTCAGGGTCAATACGTAAGAATACAACACTAACTTTCGTAGTCATGCAATACCGTGCACACTCGCTGTCTTTGGAGCCGAACTCTGATTGGCTACTGTTCTATGAATGAAGTGGGTGTACAACTAGTTGTTGCCACGAGCGTATCAATGCGTACGTACGTCACTCACTGGATGGAGAGGAACATTTAAAAGGAAAGTTTTTTCACCCGAGTGGACTCGTTTAAGAACCGGTTTCTTGAAACCTGACTCGACTCGGTGGTGCACTTCTCCCGCGAGTAGTAGTATAACTTGGTTTACACTTAAAAACAAAACAAATAACAGCGGAAGTCCTACAAACTAGCTACATTTTCAGTGTAACAGAATACAACTGATACAAATAATTCAACTGTTATCTTATAAATTACTTATTTGAGATTTTCCCATCCGTTTTTATCCTGTATCTCCGTTTTTTTTTGTACGAGACGTTTCCTGTTATAGCTATCATATATTTTCCGAGGATAAACCAGCGTGACTCCAAATAAAAAGCAAGGACAACTATATTCCTAATTTTTCCTAACATCTACTGGTTTGTTTAAAATTATGCACAAAGCTACACAATGGGCTATCTGTGCTCTGCCCACCACGGCTTTCGAAACCCAGATTCTCAGACAT